TTCGTTTTACATGAAAATTGTTCATTAAAGTGATTTTTTTTTTTTATAATTGATTATGAAATTTGTTCCCATTTCAAAAATAGGTCAAATTATTGCAATTAAACAAGTGAATAGTACCAAGGAAAATTAGAGGAATCAAACACTGCCTAATGCTTTTTGTCTAAACCTTTTCGTGGACTATAGCATTCATCAAGCTTCTGTTTGGCCCGCATTAAATTAATTTTTTTCCTCTTTTTATCAATTATATATTTTTCAATAAAATAATATTACACGTAAATCTAAAAAGATTTCCTTTCTTTTTAATTACACATTCTCTAATAAATTACTATTTCTCTCATTATAATTTGAAAAAATATAGCCCAAACAGGGGCTAAAGAATATGAATTTTTCTCCCTATTCTACTCTTTCTTCTGTTATGAAATCCTTCTTGTACCTACTCATGTCTCGAACTTTGCACACCACGTAGTTTTCCAGCTGTAATAATTCAAAAAAATAGCGTGACATAGTGTTTGACACAAATGATTTTCAACCTATGGTAGGTAAGATAAAACATTGTTGTCATATCAACGTGCAAGCTTACAATTTTTTACATTGCCATGTCAACGATGAATATATCTTATCCTACTCACAATGGGTAAGAGATCATTTCTATAGTGTTTGAACTGAAACAAAGTTAAACAGTGCTATAAGTTTGGTGACTAAGGGAAGTGTATTCAATTGAATCTTTTGAAGATTTTTATGAACTTTTTTTTAAGTGATAACTTCTGTTTATTTTGTGGACTTTTTATAGATTTGTATAAGATTAATGGAAGTTTTTCGTAGACTTCTACAAACTTTCATTTTAAAACTTTTATAGACTTTTGTAGAATTCAAAATATTTTTGAAAACTTTCATTTAAAATAGAATTCACTTGAATCTAAAATAAAAGTGTAAAATTCTCATATATCAGATACTAATTCGCACAATTCCCTTTCCCCTCCACAATAATAAAAATATTTTTAGAAGAATAAAAAATTAAGTTACCTTAATTAAATAAATAAAAATTATATATAAATATTACATTATTCTTTCATAAAAAATAAATAAAATTTTAATATTCAGCAATATGACATACTTTTAAAGAGTAAACAAGAAATCAATATATTTTAATTTAATTGTAAATTAGTCTTTTTTATAAAAAAAGTATTATAAATTTTAATTACAAATAGATAGTTTTTCATAAAAAAATGATGAAAAAAGAAAAAAGTTAGAAGAATCTTTAGTTATAATTTAAATAGAAATAAATATGATTAGTAGAAAAAAAAAAATTTTAATAATTACTCCAATGTTCATAGAAAGAAAAATGAAAGAGAAA